CCGTCGGTCAGTTTGTAATGTTACTGAGCCTACACCTGACCATAGAGCTGCCCCCACAGGCTTCTACAGGAGACATTAGGAATGATGGGTCCATCACTTCATCTGCCTCTCTTCTTACCCTTATGCACCCATCACTCTGGACTCCTCAGTCCATATGACCTCGTCCATTGCTCGCTTGCAAATTGTAGCTTATTTTCTCTGGTTAACCTCGCTGATTAGTGGTTTTCTTACGGTTCCACAGCTTTTCAGTCCCAATCCCTTGAATTCATTTCACACTGTGCATGTGGAAATGCTCCTACTTTCACTGTAAAACATAGGCCTGACCTTTACTGCATTTATTCTTCAATTTGATTTTACCAAACGTATAAGTGATCGCCAGTCACAATCCACCACATTTTCCCACTTTTATTCCAGTTTTTGATAATGCCTTGGACAATTCTTTATCCAATTTTTTAAATAGTTTCTGCAATCTCCTTAGATGTTTCTCTGCTTAATGCAAATTATTTGATCATTGCTAAACAAACTAACCTCTTTTCCACGTCTGTCAATCATGAGAACCTACTTGTTGCATTTCGTCAGCTGAAAGACAATGGATGCAGTAATTATCCAATATGAGGTTCGTACTCATTTACTAAGTTAAATCCAGATTGTGGTGGTGGGTTTTGGCCAGGCAGTGCATATACCAATAACAGTCTGAAATGTTGGGTTTTAACATTTCATTGCACCATCAGTTTTAACCAGTGGCACTGTATCGCTTATAGCACTAAAAAACTATTACGTCAGCCTTGTGTTTCAGCAACCTATGGAGATGTGCCATTGAAACACCAGTGACAGCCAGTGTGGGAAATGGTGTGATGTGGATTCAAAGAGTAGAAGAAGAAGATGATGAGGTGACAATGTAGGATGAAGAAGAATCAGAAGAGAAAGAAAAGTGTGTAATTCTTCCTGTCCTTTTTCTTACATGCTCATTCTTCTTACTCTGCCTTATTTTGTTCATGTTACAAGTCTTGTTCTCCATCAAGATTTGGTCTTAAGTTGTTTCAGTACCTTGCGCCAACTGACATAGGATGATTTTTTTTTTTACTTTCCATAATATGTCTTCCAAACTTAACCAGACACCACATCTGGTACAAGTACAACAACTTCCTCTTCTTCATTAAAAAGGAACCGGTCAACATGCATTAATGCATAATTTTTCTCTTGTGATAATATAAGGCTAAAGTCTGGAGGATTACTCCTGACATATTTTGCTTTATTATAAAACAGGCAGGAAATGCTCAGATATGCCTGTAACAGAGCACTGATGATGAGGGTTTGGTCATTTTCCTTTGGGGAAACATCAACACTCAACTCCTGAAGCTACGCAATTTCTAATTCTTACAGCTAAGCTGCTGGTCACAGGCAAAGACCTAATGCAAAACACAGCCAAATGTCTTGTCAATATTTAAACTGGCTGAGAGGCTCAATGCCAACTCGAGTATTTATTAAACTCTGATGCCCATAATGCATCCAATTCAAGCATCTGTTATTGATCACTCAAGACATATTATTTACATAGTCCAAAACATTTGCAGTTTTTCATCATATGTTAATATATTTTATGCATTACACAGAGAAAGGTTAATCATAAATCACATCTGGATGTTTTTTCATAAGGGAAAAAATATATATATAATTATATTTCAGCAATATAACCACTTCCAACTGAGCTCAAACACTGATGTCATTTTAGAACACCTGTATCCCATTAACCGAAGGAGAGCTGGTTTTCTAATGCTCTCCAAACAATCACACAACAGATTATTAAAATCAACAAATCATAAACTTTAATGAAGAAATGATATGCGGCCCTCGCAGCTGAGGCTTCTAATGAAGCGCACGCCACACAACTGTCTGCCAAAGTGTGAGCTCGTTGGACACGAAGTGGCTGCTGGAGGCGTTTTCAGTCAGACCCGTTACAGCACAGATAAACATCGCCGAGGCATTCATTAGGCCAATAAAGCCCGGTGGATGACCTGAGGCATGGGGTGATGGAGCAGCGGTCGTTTACAGCGCGCCATGATCAAAGCGGAGGACTGGGTGCTGCGTGCGTGCCGGCGGCGGGAAGAGCGGTGAACTGACTGCCAGACTCGACCCAAAAAGTACAGTCAGCCCCGTAATCAAGGGTTCCCATGCATGAGACAGTCAACACAGCTGCCAGGGAGGACCGGGGAGGGTGAATCAGTCATTGGTTACAGACCCAAATGTTTCAATGAGACCAAGTGTCATCAGTACTAATGGTTAAACCCGTACCCTGGGTGCTTTGAGTTGCTATATGTTCTCATTTATCGTGATTTTATTTAATTTTTTTAAACAAATTTCACTTTGTGTGAGAGTTAATTTACTGGCTATCTTGAAATCCGACCAAATTTAAGTCCAAGATTTGGGCTATGTTCACACTGCAGGCTGACGTGGCCCGAATAAAAAAATTTTTTGGCCTTACGCGAGCTGTATCTGATCTTTTCATGTCTGTTTGAACAACACAGATCAAATTTTTACAAACGCAACCCAGACCACTTGGATATGTGGTGCCAACTCAACAAACGTCACTATTCTGTGTCCTCATACGTGGACGCGTGAAGAAAAACAGCAACCATGGTGGACAGTAATACGGATTAAATTGTTAATGTCCAAGCGCTTGTTGGAGAGCAACTTTAAAATCTCTCCACCATTACCATCCATGTTAACTTCCGCAAACGCTGAGCACACTCGCTACATGCATAACGCTGTTATTGCCCCCTCTACTGCGAATGAGGGACATTTTTAGGTTGCCTGCATTTCTTACACAGGAGATCACATACATCACATACATTTGGAAATGTGATCAACCGCACACAAGAAAAAAATTTAAATTCATAAGTTGGGTTTAGAGATACATAAGTTGTTCAGTTTAGAGGTACTAAGAATACACTGGTAATGGTTAGGGAAAATGTCTGGGTTGGGCATAAATGCAGCTACTAAAATGAATGGAACACAAAGTCCTCAGTTGAATAGAAGTAATCATTTTATTTGTGTGTCACAAAAGCTAAGGAAGAAAGATTCTGGGAGAAAAGTGTATATCTGTGTGCGTTTGTGCTGGGGTTTCCCTGAGCGTCCAATTCTCCACTGCTTCCTGAAGCTTCTGCCACAGCATGAAATCAAATGTTAAAAAAACCAATAAGATCCAGATCACCCTGGATTCTGTATTATTTTACTTGTTACAGAAAATTTGTGAATGACCACACAACCCTGACGCCGCTGTAATCACACATCAACTAACATGTTTTCAGAGGAGAACTGCCCACAATTTACACATCAGTGCTGCCAGAAGCTAACTGAAAAATGGTTTTTCTTCCAACTTTGGATAGTCTGTTCAGACAGAGCTGGAGGTAAATAATATCACTACCTGGCTCAGTGTCAGTGACCCAGCTGTTGTCAGGTAAAGAACAAACATCTTCAGCTTTTTTTTTTTTTTTTGTTACAGCATGCTTGTCTGGACCTGCCAGACAGAGGCATGGTGAAAGGAGGAAGGCCAGCAGCGGCTCTTGACTCCTTGCATGTTTTCTTTATTAGGCTGCTTGTGATTAAGGGGCATTGATGAAAGAGGTCTGACTTTTCCAGCACATAAAGAGGAGGTGGGCGGATTTTACGTCAGGTTCATAATAACGGGCTTTTAAAGGGCTGTTCACAACATGAAGTCAAGACAAGCCTGTCAGAATGAATATACGGTGAATGCGAAAGCCTATTTAAACATGGGCTTTTCAATTTGATTGTGGATCGAGTTCAAAGACAGCATTTGTGCTACACTATCCAGTCAGCTCTGCTTCTGCTCCTTCTTCAGTGGTGTGATGTTTTTTTGTTGTTTTTTTTGGTTTGCTTTAATTGAACAAGATCAATCAAAAATAATATTTGTTCTCTTCTTGGTATTATGTTGACAACGGTGCATGAAAGGTTGTGATTATGATAAATAGATGGCTTTGTTTTTACACATCTGGTTTTCTGTCATTTGCCTTACAAAAACATTTTTAGGTCATTTAACTGAACCTAAAAATTGAAATGCTCTGGTCCATTAGGGACCGGTAACAGCAGTGGTTTGTTTTTGTGAACCTTTATCTTTTTAAGTAATTTAGTCATAATAGTATTATGAGTGGCATGTCTGTTAAGCAGCAGACTGCAGGCTGGCTAATTAACCTGCTAATGTTAACTTATTAGATTCAAAGTTTTACCTTATAAAGAACAGAGAAACAATATATTACAATACTCCACATAACGAGAGTATTTACTTTCTGAATTCGTCAAAATAAGTTTAGATTAAAAAAATTTATGTCAGTCATCAGCATCAGTACATGAAACAGTTGACTCTAATTTTAAACAGAGACTGTCGGCAAAAAATACAACAAGAAACAGCTGAATATTGCTCATGAGCCACTGGTTTATTATTTGGTCATGTGGCAACCATTTAGGCAGGCAGTTATCATAACGAGTGTGCGCCGCAGTTTTCAATATTATTGTTGCTAAGGATGTTGCAATGCCGACAATAATAGCCAAAGATTAATTGCCACCATCGTAATCTCAAATTGTGACTCGTAGATGACCAGACTTTATAGAGAGGCAAGACTATGAGCAGTAAGAACATCAGGACTGTTGATATTTTTAGATAGGAAATGGAAAATGTTGCCGCATGCCCAAGTGATATGGTCAATTTGCTGAAGCAAGAGAGTTTTTGATAGAAAACAGTCAAAAGCCACCCCTTTTCACACACTGCATACAAATTTTAATTTAGCTAATACAGTTTACATAGAACAGATGAACTGATTGATCCAGATCGATATAAAGGTGTTTATTGTTGTGATAATGTTCTGATATCAAGGGGAAAAAAATGAAGGACATTTTCCAGATTGTGATCAAAAAATGTTAGATTTATTGACCTATCTGGTACACATCTGGTGAAAGGGATTTTGTTTTGGATCAGCGTGTCTCACCTGCAACATGACACTGGAACATGCTCTGCATGGATTCATGTGTTCAGACCAGCTGAGGCTTTCACATCTGGATCTGTGGAAAAACAAAGAGAATATTCTGTCTCTAATCATTTTATTTAATACAGGTTTTCATAATTTGATCAAGGCTGAAGTGTTACTATTGATACTCCGCAGGTTATAACATCAATCAACAGTAGTTAAAAAGCAGAGAGCTTGGGTTTTACCAAGAGGAAAATGCATCCACTACATAAGCAGAGAAAATAAGCACCAATATAGATCAGTCAGACTGGGCACACAAACATTTTGATTCTTTAAAAAACTTGAATATGGGCTGCTGTGGTGGCTCAGGGGTAAAGCACAACACACATAAGGAGGCTTTAGTCCTCGACGCTGCAGGTTTGATTCTTCGCCTCATGACCTTTGCCACATGTCTTTCCCCTCTCTCATGACCTACTTTCCTGTCTAACCACTCTCAAAGGCTACTAGAGCCAATAAAACCATTAAAAAAAAAACTTCAATACGTCAATATCAGCAGACTTGGGCATAACCCATAACCATGCTCCACCCTTTGCGCAAATGTACAACGGTAAATGTGATTTTTGTTTCTCGCCATATCCATCACAGTCTATAACTTGACATCAAGTAAGGTTGATGCAGCAGTGTAGTAGAACAAAAAATACTGCATGCAGCAGCTGAGAGTTAGCTGTCACGTAAGCCCAATGTTTTTGAACATTTTTGTGGGAAATCAGCAATAAACTCACAGCTGTATATTAGCGTTGTGAATTTCCACAATCATGAAACTGCGAAAAACTGGAGGGACTGTTTGGGTTGGTTTTTTTCAAAATAGTCCATTTGCATTAATTATAAAGATAATTCAACTGCTAAAATCTCATTATAATTTGACGTTATAAATCTATTTCAAAGTCTTTACAACATGCCTCCCTTCCATTAACTCTGGGTTTGAACCCCATTTGGGTCAACTTAGTCCTGCAAAACATGAAAAACCATTACCATGAGCAAACTAAAATTGCTGAACTTAAATAGTGAACTTCTCAATTTTACACTGTGTGACATGACCGAGACCACCAAGGCACGCAACGGTAAAGGAGCGAAAAGACCAGCGCCGGATGGCAAGTCAACAACCTAAACTCTGACCCCATAAAACATAAGTTCCCAAAAAATGCAAGCGTTTTTCACCCAACCCCATCCAGCTGGAAGGTCATACACCCACCTCATACCCCTGCTTTGCTAAAAAGTTCCAAGCAGGTCATTTAACTGTGAAGATTACCCACAATGATAAATCTATACCCATTGTGTCTTGAAGTAATATGTTTGATTTGACAGATCCACCATCTGAGAAGGCCAGGAAAACAGAAACAGCACTGGAAGGCTTAACCCCTCTAAATGTGATGGGTACCCAGCCAGCGACAGGTAGCCCAATAACAAGGTTATAATATATCTTTGACTATGTCTAATGGTTTTACAGAACAGAAGGCCATTCAAGCCAAACATATGGTCCACATCACCAATTACTTAGGTGTGTCGATATGGAGAAGAGAGAGCTAGACACAGTTTAAGAATTCAATATGGACAGGAGGAGGGGAAAAAAGAGGAACTTTTAGCCAATTTAGAGGAATGACCTCAGGTCAAAGGTAGTTTCTTTACCCAGAAACAGGGCTTAAATTTCAACCAGTCCTTCCAGTTTGAGGAAAGGTTATCCAAACCAGAAAAGACAAAAGGCTGGAAATCAAGAGACAGAAAACAACAAGAGAAAACAATTTAAAAATATGTTGATATGTAGCATTGAAAACATAGAACCAGTCTCAGGGAACCCATTTTGTTAAGCTAATGTGTTAGAGTTCACTCTAAAACATATCGTGGTCTGGTTTTAAAACTTGAACCCTCAATTGTCCAAAATGGTTTCCTTTAAAACATGAAATCCTCCATAAATAATGTTGTACTCCTGTTGACCTTCTCTCTCAAATTAATGTGGTTTACCATGAACATGTAACTGTCGCTGTAAAAAAAACAAACAAAAAATACTGCTCCCATGCTGATATTATTCCAGTCTGAATGGAAGTCACATTGCTGGTAGTCCTAAGCAGGCAGGTTTGCAGCAAATTATCCAATGTCCAGTGTCTTTTAAACGAGTCACTCCAATCCCGAGAGGTGAAATCCATATATCTCCTTGAACTGAGATGCTGAAACCCCATGGATTCAGTGAGGCAAGCAATCATCTCCTTTGGAAAAAAAAGCTCTAACATTTTCAAAACCTTGAAAATGTTCCCTTTGAGCCTGTGAAGATACAAACAATCTGTTGATTCAGTGGCGGAATCCTTCCCCCTAAGCCATTATTTGCTTTAGCAGCAATGACAAGGGGAGGAATTTGAGCAATGCCTGTGTATCGTAGACTCATTTCCTCTGAGTGAAAGCCATTTCTAGACAGACAAGACAGCTCTGAAATCTGGTTTATTCCTGCCCCGTTCGCAGGTTAGGCTGTGTAACAGAGAATCTGTATTGCTGTTGTAAAGTTAGGCTCAGGTCGTCAGCCTCAGACACTCGCCCTTGTATCATTTTTCGCAACATATCTCTTTTCTGCATTCCCAAAGGTGAGCATCACACCCGTGCATAGAAGTGATAAGTTACAATGTGGGTTTTTGAACTTCCTGCACGGGTTTGAGGTCCACCCATAGCCAAACAAACCCCGCTGTCTTTTCACAACTCAGCATGAGTGGAATCAGGTTGGTGTTGAAGTTCACCCCAGTGTCGATCTGCTGGATCTCGAGGACCAGTAACAACAGCTGTGGGCCATCCTGCCGTAGGAGGGAACACAACAGCTGCTTGTATCAAGGCCCTAAGGAGAGCTACATCCTAACAACATGAAACCATCAGTGGTTTCCATCACTCCACTATCCATTTGATCTGATATTTTAGTCACATGAATTTTCAACACGCCCCGCTTGCTTTCATTTTCACCACTCTGTGTGTGTACTTTGTCAGTGCTGTATATTTTACGCCCTGAAAAAGGGGTGTGACCTTTAAGGGTACAGGTAACTTGTACATGACATTAGATTAATCAGGACCTTATAATTTGTTGTCTCAAATACTATGCAATTATTAGCAGATGAGATAATAAAAATATTGTTTTGGAGCAAAGGAGTCTGAACAAGCCCCACTTCTGGCTCTAACAGTGATTTTTTATGCATATCAATAAAAAAGGTACGACTAGAGAACAGAGAACTTTCTATAATGAGCTAAGGCTCTCCCTGCCTGGCCATTGCCTTCTATGCAATTCCACTCAATTCTCATCTCCCTTCAGTGTTCCATTTGGATTGTCTCCCATTGAGCTGGACTTCTCAGGAATTGTTCTTCAATAGCCAAGGGTTATTGAAGAAGTTATTGCTTCTTACAGAGAAGCTTTGCTTCTCTGTAAGAAGCAAAGCATAAAACAAGAGGCTGGTTTTTAACCAGGCCAAGGCTCTCCCATGCTTCATCCAAAGCGACAAAAATTGTCTCTCAATGATATACTAAAATAGCTATATCTTGTTAGCAGGGAGGCTAGTTTTACTCATCACACAACTTTGTGCGATGAGTTGTGTGACTGGTTAGAAGTTTGTGGGTGTGTTTTATGCCTTAATGCATTGGGACAACAATGTTTATATTGCACTTCAACTAGTCCGCTTTCACTATACAGTTTTTGGACCCGCAGACGACATCAATACTTTTGAGGAGATATTTTCGTGTACACTTGGCCCTTCGTGATATTTTCCCTTGGTGTACAATATGTGATAAATTTATGTGTAAAGAGGGCAGGGAGTCCTTTTTTCAGGTTCTCAAGTTAAAGAAAAGAATTGCATGGCCCGTTACAGAGGTAGATTAGCCGTCTTTGTAAAACATGGATGCCAGCCAAGAAACCTCTACCCGCTCCTGTCTCCACTTGTGTCTTTTTTCAGCTGTGTGATTTCTTGCTAGATATGTGAATTGCAATGGGACAAGTCAGATTTTAAAAGAAGAGGTGGGGGGAGATTAAGCTTGTATCAAATTACATGTGCATATCGGCATGAAAGATCTACAGCGATGAAAGCAGCAGTGCTGGGAGAGACTCCAAAACGGCAAGGGCAAACCAAAGCAGGCCGTGGTGACTAAATAGGCTCATGATGAGAGGGGAAGGTTGGTTTAGAATCATACCACAATTTATTTTTAATAATTTAAACTGTTGGAGCTGCCTGATTTAACCTACTTAAAGCAAACTTTCTTGCTCAGGATAAAGGGCATACATCAACCCAACACACCTGTCTGCTGAGTTATTCCAATGTTACGCCAATAAACCAAGGAGTAAACATGGAGCATGCAAGAGTTCATGATCGCAGATGTGCTACAGGTCAACAAGGATACTGTATCCATGCTTTATCTGCAGCCAAGAGGTTCAGAAGATGCATCTGGGAAAAAAAAGAAGTTGTGCCTCTGAGGTGTGCCGTGCATTTGTGTGCTGCCCAACAAATGTGACTGAGGGTGGGCACTTATAAACATTTATTGTATTGTTGTGGGACTGTTAGTTTTGATATTTTCTTTGCCATTTGTTAAATGAGAATTTCAATAAATATCAATACATTTGAAAATATGATTGAATGCAGTTACTATGAGCAATTTAGTGATATAAATCACGCTCCGTCATGTGACTGGAGATGCACCAATCCGATATCAATATCTGTATTGGCCTTGATGCTGAAGAAAAATTCTAAAAGCACAACTCAAAATAAAGTTGACTTGTTTTTACAAGTTTGACCAAGGTTGTCAAGATATTGATGTATTTAAGTGTGCTGTACTGGTGCACAGTTATAAAATAAATTTGTGATTGAATACATGTATATTTGTGTTTAAAAATAGAAATGTTTGAAGTCAATTCAGCACTTTTTGTTTTATCGGATCGGTATCAGTTCATATGATACATATATTATATCAGCCTCATATCTGAGATTTAGTGTCAGAAGTGAAAAAAGTGGACTGGTGCATGCCTACACGTGATTGGCGTCCAAAAGAAGCATATTACAAAATCGTGTGTGAACTGTATCT